CATAAAAAATGTAGATAAGGTTTTACTAGAAAAACTTTTATTTCATCGAATCTCAACAATTCTGTCACTTACCATACATACTAACTACGCAAATCTAACTAGTTTATCATCAAAGCTCAACCTATGAACACCAAATTCAAAATATACCAAAAGAATCATTGTCCAAATTTGAAAAATGGAAGGAGATTGTGAAAGAATATAACCAATAGGGAGAAAGACGGAGAAAGAAGACATACATTTGGAATGAGACATTTAGATATTGACATGTTATGATTTTCAACGAAACGTAAAGACCTCTATTTTGGTTGTTTTATTAATTCATAAAAAATATAAATATATTGCACTTTAATATACACCTGTCAAACTCTATAAGCCAATAATGTACTTTAAGTCAAAATAGACGTTTTAATTATCAAAGATATTCGTCTAACGAAATATTTACACCAACCATGGTTACTTTTTCAAACTAGGGGTGAGAATCGGTTCCGTTTATGGTTTCTTCGGTTTCATCAAATCGGTTTTCTTGGTTTGAATTTTTTTTGGTCCAATTCGAAAACCGAACCAAATTGAATTCAAATTATCTAGACCAAACCGAAAACTGAATTTTAATTCGGTTTGGTTCGGTTTGAAAATCGAGGAAACCAAATATTACCTTAAAAAATAATTAGTGTTGCAATTTTTTAAACATAAATTACAATGATTTTAACATAGAAAACTAAAATTACAAACATAAAGATCTAATGTTTCATACAAAAAGTTCCAAAATTTCATATATAAAATGATAAATGGTACTAGTACTAGCTAGAAACATAAAATTTAAACTGATCAAGTTTAACCCTACATTGGTAAAATAGTAAAAAAGCTAAAATGATTTTTACTTTATAATTAATATTTTTATTTAATATACAAATATATCATACATTTTTTAATTTATTTATTTATTAAATTCGTTTTTTTTTTCAGTTCGGTTTGGTTTAAACTTCATCAGACCGAAACTCGAACCAAAAACCAAGTTCACTATTCGGTTTGGTCTCGGACCAAACCAAAAACCGAATTTGAATATGGTTTGGTCTGAAACCGATATCAATTCGATTTGGTTTTCGGGTTTTTCGATTCCAAACCAAATAATTCTCACCCCTATTTCAAACACATATTTGAAGAAATTAACTTTTTATCAATTAATCATCAATATTTTAATTAGTTACTAACCTTTAAATATTTTATGCATTATAGTTGGTTCCATACCATTTGTATATTGATGTATGTTATTTACATCAAAGATTACGATAAACATGATATCCATTTTTTCTATGAAATTTATATTATGTTTCTATGAAACTGTATACTCTATCAACTATAGTTGATATATAAATTTTGTTATGAATATGATACCAAATATGTTTGGTACCGACTTCTTTGGATACCAACAATTTCAATTGGTACAAATTAACAATGATATATACCAAAAGCTCAAACTACAAACTAATATGAAG